GCAACATTCATCTTTGATATTCCAGAGTTGCACGCGGAAGGGGGCAAGGGCCAGCTCATCAAACGTAAGTCTCGAAACAGATGGGACCCAGGATCGGAGATGGAATATCCTGTCTTTGACAATCCATGGAGTTCTTTTCAGGACCCACACCCTTGTCTCATCATTTGGAAGCACCACCTCAAACAGGCCAAACTTAGTGGGTGTAACCCGAAGGTTTCCTTTCACTCGCCAGGCGTCGACTAGACCCTCCCTCAGCTCGGCAGGCGTGAAAATGTTCTCCGAGAAGAGCCTACCCAGGAGTGTCCTCGACGTGCGAAACTTCACTGACTTAACCTCATCAAGCTTGAACTCAACCACTTGATCCTCCGCAATTCGCGACATCATCATCACCTGACAAGAAGGGATAGATAAACCATTAGAGGCATGGAGGACATTTGATTCATTTATTGAGACAGGAGACGACATTGAAAAATCAGCATGTAATGCGTGCGAATTAGCCGGATTGGCAGAGGGGTTATCCCATTTTGCCAGGGAAACTCGCGGCAGCACAGAAGGGGGAACAGATGTATATGTCGCGGCACTCGAAAGTGCATCAAGCTCAGGTAGCCCAGAGCTGTTAGTATTGATTGGGGAAGGGCTCGCCTTACCTGCCGAGAGCACTAATGCAGAGGACGGCGGGTCAAAGGGAGCAGTGAAAAGGCTCGCGGCAGCAGGAGCAAAAAACAGTCGGGTCGCTTGTCTCATCTCTGCTGGAGGCGCAAACCAACGCGATTTGTGAGAATGCAGATTATCAAAAGACGGACACAATTTATAAGGAGTTATTCCGGGCAAAACCCCAAAGAGTCGTGTCACTCTGCATCTTTCAGCAAGCAGAGTTTGTTTTGGACTAGGAAATCTCCCTTGGGGGGAAAGTTGCAGATATTTCGGCTGGAGATTGCCCCCGCAAATCTCGCCTAACCAGAATAGGGATTTAGAAAACAAACCACCCCTATCCACCTGACAGACTCGACCCTCGCCCAGCACTTTCCGATCACCGGCGCCGCCAGAACAACCGAACGTGTCACTGCCGGAGCCGCTTGAAATCCTGGGCCGAAATCGCCTAATCCGCGTCCTCTGTGTTTGAACCATCACAAGAGCCCCACCCATACTGGGTGGTTCGCGAGCTAGAGGCTCGTTATCAACTTCGTTTTTGTTGTTATAGATGCTTTCGCCATTGATTTCTTCATGGCCAGAGTCTATTTCCACACCAATAGGTGTCCCGGTACGAATCCCACCCCCTAAGGGGTTATCTTGAATCTCCTGACCACAGAACCCGACCTGTGTTACGCTAGGTCTGATGCTCCGGGCAGTTCTCCCCGCGAACGGGATAAAAACAGGACCATCTTCATCCAAATCTGAAGGAAGGGGGAGCCAAAATCGCCAGAGTATCCATGGCCCCTGTTTACGCCTCTTCAACGGACGATTCGCTGAGTTTTGATGACCTTGAGAATCAATCGGGATCGGCCGCTTCCTTACTCGGCGCCTTTTTCCTACACGCCGGCCAAAATCCCGATCAGTTCTCCCCGGGCAATTGACCTCCTGATTGAAATTGAGAGGAGTTTCTTTGCTCCCCTTCTCATGGGCAACACTCCGAGCAGGAGGGATCAACTTCGGTAGCCAGGTCTCCTTGGATTGATTTCGCAAACTCACGGCGAAGACAAAGGCGGTGGCCCTTGATAGCCACCTAGCCACGAACGAACAGATTAGGAAGAGAGAGGACAGAGCCTCCGGGAACATTTTTTTTGGCCGTGAAGTTTTTAATTCTTGTATAGTATCTTTGGTTGCTATCTTAGCCCACCCTTAGATACAATTCAAAGAGCAGATACATGAGTGAAATTGAAAGGGCTTTGACTTTTTTTTATCCCAGAGGCGATTGACTTATAGTGTATCGTGCACAATACAAGGCAATGTCGTGAAGATCTGAAAGAGATGACCTAGTCCGCGTCTCATCCAAAATCAACAACCATGCATTTTTATTTATTTATTTGGGGAACCTTGCGTTTCCTAGAAACAACCTTTTGTTGTTTTCGGCCAGCTACCCAATTTAGTGGTCCCATGGTTTCCCCAAATAAAAGCGGAAAACAAGTGAATACGCTTTTTCCTCTGTGTTTCCAAAGCTCTTTACCCGCCATGCAAAAGCCAAAAAAATTTGACCTAGCATCAATGGCAGACCTAGGCGGTAAGGAGGTCTGCCCAAAATTATTTTCTTCTTCCCCATTTTCCTAATTTTACCTACCAAATTATTATTCATGGTTGAATTAAATATATTTGTGGTTTGATTTTGGCTAATTTGGGAGAAGTAGCACAAAATTGCTAATTGCATGATTTTGGGCATTATTTATTTTATCATTCAGTTTTCTTCTTGAGGAAGTTTACAATGATTTAAAGTATTGGTGCTTGATGACTTGATTTATACACATGTTTTTGTCCATCATTCTTATACCGTTTGAGTCAAATTTTTGGTGTTTTAAGCTGATTTCACGCTAGGTTGTTCTTGTTTATGATATTTCAGGTCCTAGTACAGTAGTACGTGAATGAAGGTTTGGGCACGAGTTCGGGGTCGATTGGACGAAGTTGGGACGTTTGACGAAAAGCTGAGGAAACCACACGGCCGTGTGGAACACCTTTACGCGGGCAAAGCCACGCGGTCCGTGTAAGGACCCCTTTTGGCTGTGTGGGATGTCCAGAGAGTTCACACGGGCAGGCAATATTTCTACACGGCCGTGTGGTTTTGGCCTTGTAGCGTACCTGTAGTCACTAAATCGAACGCGGTGTTTTGGAGAGCCACACGGCAGCTGGGAATTTCACACGGCCGTGTGGCCTGGCTATGCGGGCGGAAATGGGGTTTAACCCAATTTCGGGTCTTTGAAGAGGGAACCGATTTTCCAGAGCAAAAACAGAGTCATAGAGAGAGAAAGTGCGAAGAACAAACCCTAGAGGTGACTTTGGAGCTGGGTTTCATCAATCAAGCTTGGATTTCATCCCTGGAGTGAAGATTATCATCCCAAAGCAGATTCTTCCCATCATTATGAGTATTCTGTTTTCCTCTCTCTCTCTCTCTATGGAGTAAAACTCTCTCTCACTTGGGTATGAAGAACCCTAGTTCCATGTGTTAGGGATATTGATTGTAATGACGTTTGGATTGATATACTGCTTGATTATAATCGATTGAAGTGTATTTTTTGAGTCAATTAAAGCCTGATCAACTTTTCTTGATTTCTGCTGCAACCTGAGATAGATAGAATCTGATTAGGTTGTTAGAGATTCTTCAATCGGTAGTAGTTAATTGATTATACGAGAGTTAGTCAATTCATTTCTTTGTACTGGAATCCAATTCCAGTAGTTGAGATTTGTGTGAATCGCCTTAGCAGTCTATTCCGGTGAAGGCTAGTCGCCTGCCGGGTATTCTGTCTAAGAGGGCTTGGTCGGCTTAAGAGATTCCAAACTAATTTAGGATCTTCCGCAGTTTAATCATCAGTGAATCAACCAAAGGGAATTACAAGTTTGACCTAACTAAGGAGCTAGGGGGATTCATTCCCGAGTGACTCTTCCCTCGCTTAAGAACTTCGACAATTTCCTGCTTTCTTACAGCTTTTGTTTGCAATCACTCTCACTACACTTAGTCCCGCTAGATAATAGGTAGTCACGGAGTAGGCAGTAGATTTAGACTCCGGGTTGATAAATTGAACTTGCCACTATTCTACATTTTCGGACTGCGATTATACTTGGTCGCAGTTTGGTGTTGAGCGTGTCGGTGCTTTATTTTTCTGTCTTTATAGTACAACTTCAAATTGTACCTTTAACGTTATGGTACAACTCTAGGTTGTACCCATACACTTTTGTACAAATCTCTTTATGGTACAAACTAAAGTTGTACATTTATGTTATGGAACAATTTGAAATTCACTTACAATTTGAAATTGTACCATAACATAAATCTACAAATTCACTTATGGTACAACTTCAATTTGTACATTTAATACTGTGGTACAATTTAAAGTAGTACTTTAAGGCATTTATGTTATAAAGCATAGTAGAAGTGCTCCTTCTAATGCTAGTATTGACTATACCCGTTGCAAGTGCAAGCTAAGTTAGTAAGTTAATCAAGAAAGATCTTCTGAATTGGTTGAGTGACCGATTAATGAATTATTGTTAAATTGTGTACATCGAAAAAGGTTGGATTCGTAACTTAAATGATGAATGTACTTTACAAACCTCTTAGAATTCGAAAACCGTTGTAGTCTCATTGTAAAAAAATAATGAAATTGTAAACTTTATGAATTAAATTTCTTACTAATTATTTTATGTTTATTACCGACTCCGACACACAAGTCCGCCATTGCCTAGCATCCATATTAACGTCAAGGTTGTTAAACCCCTATCGGGGCCCTAGTTGGACCCAGTCCGGCCTAAGTTGGGTTTCAAAACGGTCTCCTACAGAGGGAGAAGAAAAGAGAGGAAATGGAGGAGGGGGAAATGAGGAAGGACGATGGTGGGTGAATCTTGGAGGTTAGGTATGTTTTATTTTGTAGGAAATAAGTTTTTAATAGATATATGTAAGATAAATTTCATTTCAGTTGTTAATTTTTAATTACTACCTTATTTGTACATATATTCAGAAAACGTATAAAACGGCTCAAATCAGTCGGACCCTGATCAGATCAATAAATCTCAAACCCCTTACTTGACCTGCTCAATGACTTCACCCGGTTTGACAACCTTGCGTCACAAGCATACATAACGCATGAAGAGTTTTTACCAAAAACAGAAAAGCAGGAAAAAAGTATCACTAGTTGCCATGTGGTGGCTGGCTGTTGCAAGTTCTAATCACCCACGTGTGACCATAATTTTCGGTAGACAATTCTGCATATCAATTCTCACCACTCAGTCTCTTTCTTTCAGGGAAAACAGATTACTCGAAAAATAGAAAAAACAGGTAACAAAGGTAAAAAACAAAGGACAAGGAGATTAACAAAGAACAAATGGGAAGTAAAGAGCGAACAAAAGACAAAAAAGAAAAGAGAAGGCAAGAAATTTCTCTCCTCCGCACAATTCCATATTCAGATCATCAAAGGTAAAGTGTTCTTTTTTTCCTTTTCGTTCAATAAAATATCAGTCACTCTTTAATCTATTCGTGCATGATTTGCAGTATTGTTATATTTCTTTTAATGGGTAATCGGATACTTCATATGATCCGGATGTAAATGTTATCAATCTCATTCTCAATACGAACTTTAAAGGCATCAACCAACATATTTTCTTAAATATTTTAAAATAATAAGGCATTGTATCAATAACAATTGGTGAGAGGCATTTGTTAGCATACAATATATGGTATTCCAGCATCAATAGAGTATAAGTTGCATGTGAGAAAGTATATATTGCGTGAATAAAATGTTTGTTATTTGGTGTGAATTAGCATTTGTCTCAATTTGTTTTTGAATTAGTATCATAATGAATTCAGAACGTTGACAAATTATCATTTATAGAACTTTCGATAAAGATAGAAGTATTCCAAACTATAAAGGCTCAACGTTTTATATCCATAAGCTTCTGTTGTTTGTTAAAATGTTGGTCAATATTTGTTTAACCATCGATGACCTGATAGTAGTATTTTGTTCACGTGGGTGACTCATAATGATCATAAAAGTCTCAATTATTTTCAATGAAAAAAAATTGAGATCCCTTCTTGAGTCCTCCTTGCCAATTCATCCCTACTAATGATTTTTATCTAGGGATGATAATAAGCGGCCTCATTGGGCAATTGGATCCAAAATAGTAAAAATCTCAATTAAAATTATAAAATATTGTGATTTATAATATTACTTACATGTTTCGATCTTAATTTCACTATAAAATTTATGGACCTCAAAATCCTAATCTTAAATCGAATCTCATAATTTTAAAGAATTTTTACGATTTTTACGGGCTTGATGGAGAAATAGAATATATTTCAATGTCTATATTGAATTGATCGAATTTGGACCAAATCAAAACGAGTTGAAGGAATAGGATAGATTTACTTATCCCCCCACACCCCCACACACACATTAGCAAAACATAATGCATGTTTTCCTTCTCCTCCATTAACATCATGTAGTTCTCTCTCACGAGCGACCATAAACTATCATTAATTCGTGTAAACTCATTAATCATCAGCGATTCACTACTTTTCAACATTAAAATTGAGAAGTTGAAACATTAACATTGAAAAATTATTATTTTAAGTTTTATGTGTTCTTGTGTTATTCATGATTTCCCTTATTAATATTATTAGTGTTTTTTTATATGGACCCTGAAATCGTACGATTTTATTATTCAATTTTACGATTAAGATTTAACTATAGTTTTCAATTTACATAAAATCCTCAATTTGACTGCATTGAATGGATCCAATTGTCAATCTATATGAGTATTGTGTTGGACTCAAATGAGCTCATATGCACTCGTAACAATTTTGGATATGGGTTTCGATTGGGACTAGTTTAGGTCAACCCATTTCTGTTGGACCCAAATGAACCTATTTGTATCTATATTATATAATAAAAAATAATATTGACCATCTCATTATTTGCCTTCAAGCAATTCACACCTTATATTAACATCTTCACATTCATATTTGTTTTAGAAGAAAGAAAAATACAAAAATCACATTGAAGTTGAATATACATATTCTTTTGCGTTTCTAATATATTTGGTATAATTTAGACCCAAACTAAAAAAATGAGTATGAGTAAAATGATATTATCAAAATTTGATTTGAACCATAAAATTGCATTTAGTCATACGAAGTAAAGGTGGAAATTAGGATCCATATCCATGAATTCAATCCATCCACTAAAATGTTCACCTAATCCGTTCCATTTTTGATCCAAATCCAATTGGATTGGTGAATTTATGGAATGATCCATGAGTCCAAATGAAAAATTACGATTTAGTACCTATACCTTTTATATTTTACATTTTGGTAGATAAAATATATTCTTATACGAAAAATATCATTGAAAATTATGTTTTGGTACCTAAAATAATTTTTCATTATGACATGTTAGTACCTAAACTTTTAAAATTTACATAATTATCGAAGACTTGACATAATGTCATTTAAATTCATTGATCAATCTATTTAATCCAATCCATGAATTCATCAATCCATTAAATCTAATCCATTTAAGACAAAAATTGATCATGAATACAATCGATTTGTCAACTCTAACACCAAAGTCTTTTTTGCCATCCCTATTTGTACTCCTTGGCCGCCCCTAAATCCTCCGAGGGCTAATTCCAATCTCTTCCTCTCTGGCCTCTGCCCCCTTCACCTAATTTCTTGACTTCTTCAACAACAAGATTGTGAACCCATCTCACAAAAAAGAAAAAGATTGTGATGTGAACCCATGTTTTTTAAGTTAATCGTTAGATAGAGGAGACATCGGAGCTGCGGCAGTTATAGGTTCATCGGAGAGGCTAGAGAGGGTTATCAAATAATAGGAATCTGTCTGATGGAGTTGGATTCGATTCTGAGAGGAAAAGACAGAAACAGGTTCAGTTGTGGGGAATTTATTGGAAAGGGTTATAGGTATAATATGACCCTCTACTATGACATTTTATCAAACATGTCCCTCTACTATTTTTTTATACCAAACATGCCCTTGTACTTTGAAAAAATTATCAAACATGCCCTTCTGTTAAGATTTCCATTGATAAAATCGTCAATCATGGTTGAACTGAGATTTAGAAGACCCGACATCGGCAAATGGGAGCGAAAATGTCAATTTTTTCTCCCGTTTTATTTCTCTGGGTCTTTTCAAAGTGAAATTATTTGAATTATTTGACTATACAAAAGAACAAAAAAAATTCTAAAGGGAAATTATTAGGGATATTTTAGACATTTGTGCCTCCCAAACCAAAGTTCCACCTTGGTTAACGGTTTTTTGTTGAAAATTTAAACAAAAGGGCATGTGTGATCATTTTTACAAAATACAGGGGCATGTTTGATGTAAAAAATAATATAAGGGCATGTTTGATAAAACGTCATAGTAGAGAGGCATATTATACCTATAACCCTTTCCAATAAATTCCCCACAACTGAACCTTGTTTCTGTCTTTTCCTCTCAGAATCGAATCCAACTCCATCAGACAGATTCCTAGTATTTGATAACCCTCTCTAGCCTCTCCGATGAACCTATAGCTGCCGCAGCTCCGATGTCTCCTCTATCGAACGATTAAGTATTAACTTAAAAAACATGGGTTCACATCACAATCTTTTTCCTTTTTTGCTAAATTTTTGTCAGATCAGCTTCAGTGTCATTATTGACTAGGGTCTTGATCAAACCTAAGAATAGGACTAATGAAAATTTTGGCAAAGTTCGAGATTTATACGATTAGCCCATTTTCAAATGTTGTTGCATTGCACTTTGCTTGCTTGTTTAGTAATATTTGATGTTCCGGGTAATGAAATTTTGATCTTCAATTCCTTACATTATAATTAGATGGTGGTCAGTGGAAACGGTTGCAGTGGTGACAGGGGCAAACAGAGGAATAGGGTTCGAGATAGTGAGACAGCTCGCAGGACATGGAGTCACAGTAATACTAACATCTAGGGAAGCTAGTGCCGGAATCGAAGCCTCAAGTGTATTGCAAGAGCTGGGCTTAAGTGTGGCATTCCACCAACTCGATGTTTTGGACGATTCATCTATCAAAGAGTTTTGCGAGTGGGTGAAAGAACAATATGGTGGCATAGACATTCTGGTGGGTTAATAATTGTTACCAAAAAAATCTCGAATTGAATGTTCTTTGGTATGCATGTATGATTCTTGTTCCTTATTTATTCCATTTTTTTTTTTTGTGTTTGTATTTTTCTTAAGGTCAACAATGCAGGTGTTAATTTCAATCTCGGTTCCGAGAATTCGGTGGAATTTGCTCGGATGGTTGTTGATACTAATTATTATGCTATTAAAAAAGTGACCAAGGCGATGATCCCACTTATCAGACCGTCTCAAGCAGGTGGACGGATCGTTAACGTCAGCTCAAGGCTGGGCAGAGTTAACGGAAAACGAAATGTAAGTTTGACGGGACCTTATATAAATTATGATGAATGAAAAATTAGAACTCTAGGTTATTTAATACTGTTATCAATGTCTGTAACTCAATTAAGAACAAAAGTTTTGATGAATATCGGTAGAAGTAGACTGCATTACGATGGAAAATTATATTGATCTATTAGATATTATACTGACAAAATACTATAAAACAAGTTAAGTTTTGCTATTATTGATCACATTGTGGACAATTAGACGATCTCAATCCTTAAAATTGATTAGCAATTTTTAAACGTGGTCCCTACCACCACATCATTAAATTTTAGCAATTCTTAACCTAGCCATTTCTACTCATCAACATACCTAAAATGTGTTAGCAATTGCCAAAGTGGGTTCCATTTACTATTTCAAATCTACACAAACACTTATCAATTGAAAAGTTAATAAGCAAGAAAATATAAAAAGTAAATAATTATCTGTGAGGGATTGCTAGAAGAATTGCTAATTTAGCAATCTTGCTAGTTTAGAAAGAACTCCTCCATCCCCAGTTATTGCTAAGTTTTTTGCCCCCTAAGTTTCACCTCACCTTTAGCAATTACTAAAAGTTGGGGATGGAGATGGTCGTATATTGCTATTAACTAACGTTGTGCATGATGCCACTATTACAATATATGAACATTGATGATGAACCATACAACAACGTTGTTGTTCATTTTTATCAGAGAATCGAAAATGAAGAGCTGAGAGCAAAACTAAATGACTTGGAAACATTGTCAGAGGAACTGATCGATGGAATGATGTCAAAGTTCTTAGAGCAAGTGGAAGATGGGAGCTGGGAATCTGGTGGTTGGCCTCTCACCAACACGGATTACTCCGTGTCAAAACTAGGGGTGAATTGCTACACCAGGTTGTTGGCTAAGGAGATGGCTGATAATAGAGGCGAGGGTGAGAAAATATTTGTGAATTGTTACTGCCCTGGGTGGGTTAAAACAGCAATGACAGGGTGGGCTGGAACCATATCAGCAGAGGACGGTGCCGACACAGGAGTATGGTTAGCCTTACTCCCTGATCAGGCTATTACTGGGAAATTCTTTGCTGAAAGACGCGAGATCGGCTTTTAATTTATTTATTAGATTTTGGGCATAATTCAAAACTTTTGTATGTGGGTTAATAAGTGATTTTTCTTTTCATATCATGATTGAGGAAGTAGTTTTTTTTTTTTTTTTTTGTTGTTTTTGAAACTCGTGGTTGATTGAATCCAAGATTTGTGTTTAAGTTTAATTCAGGAACGTGTGGTTGTTGGCCTTTTGATCTGGCACTGCAGTCGCTCGTTTTATGTGAGAATGTCTTCACGTGCCGCGCACATGATTGTGACTATATTGTTCTTAGTTGCCACATTGCTGACTATATTGTTCTTAGTTGTAATATCAAACAAATGGTGACTGTATTGTTCTTAGTTGCCAAATGAGTTCATACAAATGAACATAATGGATAACTCTAGTATATAACACAACTTAATATTTAAATGAGAGATAGTTCTACGTATAAATATAGGCGGGAGATCTAGGAATGGATTTAATAGTCATATTAGATGATATTTGAGTTCGTTTAATTTTGTGGCAAGAGTTAGCATTGACATTATCTTCTTTGTACCATTATTTCATATATATTGAAACTCTTTGAAGGCGTCAACAACTAGATTTTTTGGAAAGTTTCCTGCAAAGACAACTCGCATTCAACTTTGAAGCAATTCTCCAATTTTGCTTATAGTATTTGCATATACGTCTGATCTAGAATTCATCCGACCAGCTCTCTTTGCTTTTGACATTTGTGTCATCACCATCCTCAAGTGCTAATGACACTACTCCAGCCCCAAATGCTTTACTGCCAATGCAGTTAAAAGCGCGATTCTACCTAGAAGCGGAAAATTGGTAAAATCGTAAAACGTAGAATCAAAGCGTAAAAGCGTAAGTTTTTGACGCACTCTCTAAAATAGCTAAAATATGTTAAGTACAACATATAGTATGTAAAATGTGAGTATGTAGATTTTAGATAAGTGAATAACTACATGAAATTCGTAATTAAAATGTAATATCTAACACATAAACTAATTTGTCTTGACTCAAAAGTAGAAAAAACTCATAACATATTAATAATAAGCTCATAAACATAGATCGTAACCCGTAAACGAGTTTGAGAATCCAAATTCTCATAAGCTGGTTTGAGTTTACATAATTACATACGATCAATTACCCATAAACTTTTATCGTAACCCAGGTAAGAGCCACAGGTGAAGATTAAGGGAGAAGACTGATAAAAGGTCAGCAAATGTTGAGAACACCATTAGGTGTCTTTTCAACCTAATATGAAGCCCATATCTCGATACTAGTTGTAGAACGAGTGATGAATCATGTTTTCCTTTTTTTTATTTTTGCTGATATGTCTCCAAAATTACATCATTTTGGGCCAATTAGCACATTTTTATGAGATGATAAAAATCGTATAAAAACGATTCAGAATCACGATTTTACCGAATTTAAGCGATTTTACTGATTTTAATCATATTTTTACCAATTTTTGTGACTAAGCGAATTTAGGTAGAAACTGAAACGTTTTGGTGGTCTGGATACGTAAAAACGTAAGTTTTTATGTTTTAATGCGTGATTTTGACCACACTGTTTACTGCCAACTAAAATAGCTCTAGTAGTTCCTGTGCTTAGCGTTCTATCATAACTGAACAGTTTTAGAAAATAAAGTTGTTCATATTTGCAATTTGTTTAATATATATAGTTAAACATATTTCATTAGTTCTTTGCCACTACCATCTCAAACATGCATGGTAAACTTATACTAGACCAATGAATACAAAAGTTAAAAAACTATTCTATGACAATAATTCGTACACATTTGTTCGAATAAAATCTTAATAATATATGCCAATGTTCCTCTAACATATGAGTTATAACATATAATATTACACCAAAATAACATGTCATACTTAAATTTAACATATAGTGAAAATTCACACACACTTATATAATATCAATATTCAAATGTTCAACTTAGAATTCCAAATATTGAGTTAGGCGAAAAGAAAAATCGAAAAATAGGCGCATTTCGCAAACCAAAGACAAAAATGGCACAATTTGACCTCCAACCCAGTGCCTTGAAGCGGTCGACCCAGCGGGTGCATACGACCCGTTTTTCTCACCGGGCCAGGGTCAAAGTGGGTGATCTGCGGGTTGACAACCTTGACTGGACCAAAGTAAACCAAATACACTATTGGTCTGGTCCTTGATCCATACAAGTCTCTTAATATTGGAGCGTAGTTCTCCTGAGTTTGGTCTAACCCTGAACTGGACCGGATCAGACCGACTGGACCGACTGTTGCACACACCTAATTATAGACAACACTTTGTTTGTAAATATATATTTCACTATTAGCTGCATTTTTTTTTAATCATTTTGACTTTTGCCTGTAATCAATACGTTTTATGCATACTCAAAGTAATATTTGTCTAAATAATTCATAACCAAATAACAGATAAAAGACGAGGAATTTTACAATGCTATATAGTATTGGTGCTATAGTTTTTTTGTATTTATGGTAAAACTTGAAGTAGTACCTTTAACGTTATGGTACAACTTCATATTGTACCTATACTCTTTTGTACAATTTTTTTTATGGTACAACTTAAACTTGTACATTCATGTGATGGTGCAACTTTAAGTTATAAAGTTGTACCATAACATAAGGGTACAAATTCTTTTATGGTACAACCTTAACTTATACATTTAACATTATGGTACAACTTTAAGTTGTACATTAAAGCACCAATACTTTATAACTAACATAGTAGAAGTGTTCATAAAAGACACATCATTGATATAAATAACTTATACAATTATACAAATTATATAACTAGGTAACTAACAAACGACTTGGGCAAACAACTTGGGCGAACTTTAGTTTAAACGTGAGAACATGCCAACGGGCGAACCAAAATGGGCCACGGATGAGGCAGGCTAGTAGGCCCTAAGTACGCTGTGCAACTTTCGTTTTTTTTCCTTCTTAATTGCAAATTTGATCACTCGAATTGCTATAAAATTTTACGTTTACCACTCAAATTGATTTATTCCATTTATAGTCACTTGAATTAGATGAACAGTCCAAGTTCGGTCACTCTCTGTTAACCTCCGTTAGACTCCGTTAATGACGACTGTTAAGTGATGACATGGCTAACAGAAAATTACAGTCAGCATATTTTAACAATAAAAACCGACGACTGACCCGCCACGTCACATTTACCCGCCCTGTCAGCCATTCTTACCCAACCCGTGAACCAACCCAATTAATTGACCCAAAACCCAAACCCGAGACCCAAACCCCCTGAAAAGTAAATCGATACGGGAAGGGTAGGGCACTTTCCCTTCCTCCATCGTCCTCTCATCCTCCTGCGCCGCGTCTCTCCAAAAGCAACCATCGAAAATCGCCGTCGAATGAGGGATGGAGGCCGCCGCGCCGCCGCTCTGAATCCCTTCCCCCAATCTCTTCCTCCCGCGTCTGTTCTTCCTCCTGCTACTCTTCTTCATCCCGCGCTGCTGTTTTTTCCCCTATTGCAACCCGACGCGAAACCCTAAATCGGCGCTCGACTTTTCTCCGGCTGTGGTTGACGAAGGAGACAGAAGAAGCTCTTCTCTCCTATTTTAAAGGTAAGGCTCACCTGCTTCTCCTCTTCGCTTTTATAACCCGACGCGGAAAAGATGAGTTGTCGCTGTCCTGGGGAATCTTTTGGGGCTGCAACTTTACCTTTCTTTATACTGATGGTGGAGGTTCTTCTTGTCTGTTTTCCAGCTCAGCCTTACACGACAACACCATTGTGTCTCATGTGCGTGCATCAAATGCGCCCCAACCGAAATATGGTGAGTCAACTATCTTCTCACACAGCTGACCTTTATTGGAGTAAAGGACAACAATTTGTTGTTTTTTTTTCGAATTGAAAATTAGGGTTTGTGTGGAATACCAAAACCAGCAGCATGTGTGAAGTGGTTGACATGTCATTTTCATGCTTTTAATACTATTTGTTGGGTTAAAGAAGTCTTTACTGCTTTGGTCACTTTTAATCACTCATTCTCTCTTTTGTTGTTTGCAACATGTGCTTCTTGTGGAGAGTTTACATTTGAAGTGCACTTATCAGAAGCATTGAAGAAGAAGGGTGGCAAGCATTTTCTAGATGAGAAGTCTACAGTCTACTGGGACTATGCAGATATTGATGAGTTATCAACGCTTGATCTGCCTGACATATACAAGGCATGTGGAGGAAAGATTGACAAGCCGAAGTTCTTCTGGAGCTCTCCTTCAACTGATGTTATGTCAGAGATCACGTCAGATGAAGATATACTCGCCATGTCAACAAGTGCAAATGAAGAAGCGAGGGTCATCGAACTATATGCCATCTCTGAGGAAGACATTGCTGAGATCATGGAAAGTGACGAGGACGAAGATGGAGCTGCCACCATGGGTAAGAAGGGTAAAGAAGCTGCTGGTCGTGAGTCGGGTGATGATGTAGACTATGAGGAAGAAGATGATAGTGCCTATGAGGCTAGTGAAGAGGAGGACTTTAGCAGAGCTGACAATCTGCAGTTTGAAAGAAGCGTAGTTGCAGATGTAGAAGCTGATTTTTACACTGAAGAAGACGAAATTGAGAAGTGCAGGAAGACTATCATAGAGGCAGAAGAGGGTTCAGATGTCGATTCAGACAATCGAAGGACAATTTGTAGCTCAGATGAAGATGAGGATAGTCACCAGGTGGAGGACTTTCGAGCTGAGAGAGACATGGAGAGCCCTACTTTCGCTATTTCGCAAAGATTTGGCAGTTTTGACGAGTTGAAAGAGGCCATAAAACAACATGCCTTTGTGGAAAGCGCCCTATTCGTTTTAAGAAGAACGACAAGAGGAGGCTGTAAGCAGTATGCACTGATCCATGTGATTGGTATATATGGGCCTCAGACTTGCTAGGAAGATGGCAGCAGACAAGAAGATGCGCAAGGGGCTGCTCAAACAGATATGCAAGGAAGATGTATTGATTCAAAGGCATGGAGGATTCGAAGGGCTGCTCTTGATCAGGTTAGGGGCAGTTTTAGAGAGCGATTCCGAGGGCTATACCATTACGCCGAGGAATTGAGGAGGAGCAACCCAGGTTCTACAGTGATCATAGAGCAGAGAAACCAGCACTTTGATCAGATGTATGTATGTTTCCAGGCTTCAAAACTGGGTTTCAAGGCTGGTTGCAGGCATGTCTTGGTTATTGATGGCTGTTTTTTTAAGCATGAGTATTAGGAATGACAATGGGGCAGGTCCGGGGCGGGTTTCTTGGTACCCAGACCCGCCCCGTGGCAGGTCGGGTCCAGGTCGGGTAATTGATCACGGGTCACGGGTCGGGACAGGTCGACCCAATGGGTATGCAATTTATATGAAAAACATTAGAAATATTCGTTATTTTTATTATAAGACTAAGAAAACAAACAATATTATGACAATTGTAGTTAAATTATTGGAGAAATTGAGATTTTCACTAATTTACAACTTTATTATAGCTAAAATATGATGCAGTAAAAGAAAATTCTAAGTAATTTGACTAAGATTACATGTGATTTAGACAAGAACGGGTCGAGAATGGGACGGGTCAGGGCAGGTCGGGTCGATGAGACTACCCATACCCGCCCCGCCCCGCCTACGGGGTGGGTCGGACCCGCCCCAAAACAGATCAAACAGGTCGGGTAAAACGGGTCAGGTCGAAATTGCCATCCCTAATGAGTATGGAGGTCAACTGCTTTCAGCTGTGGGTATTGATGCAAATGACCAGTACGTACTTCCTAGTAGCCTTTGCTCATGGACCTGTGGAGAATAAAGAGAATTGGGAGTGGTTTTTGGAGCTCATCTCTAGTGACTTGGAGGTTAGGGACAATCCCGGATGGACTTTCATGTCCGACAAACAAAAGGTATGCTTATGATTGGTTGATAAATTGGTTTTGGGCTTATAATTATGATTGTTCCATATTTTGAGTTGTGTGTTATTGGTGTTTTAGGGACTAGTGCCAGCTCTTGATGGACTCTTCCCAAGCTGTGAGAAGAGGTATTGTGCAACGCACTTGTGGACCAACTTCAAAGGTGCATGAGGGGGGTCCCAACACATGAAGAACCTGTTCTGGGCATCAGTTAGAGCGGAAACGGTTCCTCAATTTCGCCACCAAATGCAAGCTCTATCAGAATACAACAAGGCAGCTTATGATTGGTTGATCGACAAGCCATTCTACCATTGGAGAAGGTCACATTATCAAACCCTCTACAACTCTAAGATTCATATGAGCAATTTGGTGGAGAGCTGGAACAATGTGATTATAGAAGAGAGGGATATGGGTCCCATCTGTATATGGGAGGGGATTAGAAGAAACTTGATGGTGTTATATGCCCACAGAAGGAGTATGGTATCTAGTTGGACATCTATGTTCACTGAGAAGATTGAGAAGGAGCTAGACGAGACTACTGAAGAAGCATTGAAGTGGTCAGCCGAAAGTAATGGGAATGGTCAATTTGAGGTGAGGTGGCACAGCCACCAAGTTGTTGTCAATATGAAGAAGAAGACATGTACATGTAGACATTGGGAGTTGACCGGCATTCCGTGTGCGCATGCCATCACTGCAATCAGGAAGTCAAAGCTTTTTATCAAGAACCATGTTGATGATTGCTACTTGAGGGAAACATTGGCTAAGATATACCAGTTCTCCATTTCACCTACTAATGGCAAGGAGTATTGGCCAATTTCTGAGTTGGGGGATTGTGGAGTCCCTCCAGTTGCAAACTCGAAAAAGAGGGACATACCAAAGAAGCAGCGAAGAAAGGGACTCGATGAGGATGAGAAGGGGAAGAAGAAACATAAGAAGGGTGAAAGGGAATCATCAAAGCCGGAAGGAAGGAAGTACGAGTGCACCACATGTGGGGTGGTTGGGCACACCAAACTGTTCCATAATGAAGAAAGGAAGAAACAGGTGGAGGAAAGGAGACAAGCTAAGGAACAGGCTAAGGAAGAAGCTAAAAGGGGGAAACGGCTCGAAAAAGCGGAAAAAATCGGTTGGCAGCCATACAAAGGCAGCAACAGAGGGCTGCAAAAGCAGCTGCAAAAGCGCCATTGAGTCAGCCCAACACTGTCCAGCTCATGCCAGATGTATTTATTTATTCAATTGTACAATTTTGCTTTCTAATCAAGTCCTACTATCTTCTAATGTTGTTTTACCTTTGCAGGGAACTACTAGGAGGCCACGGATTGAGGCATCACAGCAGCTCAGCCAAGGATGTGGAGGATCGCAGATCGCAAGCCAAGTGACTCAAGAGAACGAGTGAAGATTAGTTGCAGTTTAGGTCCAAATGATAATTACCATTTTGAAGCCTCCAATTGGCTAGTAACTGTAGACGTTGAATGTTGCTTTGTCGTATTAGCTAGCTTATTATGTCATGGTGAATTGCTCTTTTGGAAAAACAATGTCCTCGAGGCTATAATTATCAATTGGCTAGTAAATGTAGATATTGAATGTTGCTTTGTCGTATTAGCTAGCTTATTATGTCATGGTGAATTGCTCTTTTGGAAAAACACTGGCCTCGAGGCTATAATTATCATTTGTACCTTGTAAGACTAATTTTATGAATGATTATCAGGTTTATCAATCTTCCAGTACATTGGAAGGTTCTTTTGCACCAATACATGCATTATTTGTTCCATTTGTGCCGCTACCTGTGAGTGACCAAATATGAAATCATTTAGCAATTCAAGTGACCAAACATGAAACAATTTATCAATTCAAGTGACCAAACATGAAACAAAGTAGCAATTCAAGTGACCAAACATGAAACAAATTAGCAATTCAAGTGACCAAACATGAAATAATTTAACAATTCAAGTGACCGTAGCTGAAATGGATAATATTAGGTTACACATTGTCAACAACCAATGCAGTTAAAAGCGCGATTCTACCTAAAAGCGGAAAATGGATAAAATCGTCAAATGTAGAATCAAAGCGTAAAAGCGTAAGTTTTTGACGCACCTCTAAAATAGCTAAAATATGTTAAGTACAACATATAGCATGTAAAATGTGAGTGTGTAGATTTTATATAAGTGAATAAATACATTAAATTCATAATTAAAATATAATATCTAACACATAAACTAATTTGTGTTGACTCAAAAGTAGAGAAAACTCATTACATCTTAATAATAAGCACATAAGTGTAGATCGTAACCCGTAAACGAGCTTGAGAATCCAAATTCTCATAAGCTAGTTTGAGTTTACATAATTACATGCGATCAATTACCAATAAACTTTTATTGTAACCCAGGTAAGAGCCACAAGTGAAGATTAAGGGAGAAGACTGATAGAAGGTCAGCGGCTGTTGATAATACCATTAGGTGTCTTTTCAACATAATGTGAAGCCCCTATCTCGACACTAGTTGTAGAACGAGTGATGAATCATGTTTTCCTTTTTTTATTTTTTGCTGATATGTCTCCAAAATTACATCATTTTGGGCCAATTAGCACATTTTTATGATATTATCAAAATCGTGATTTTACCGATTTTAAGCGATTTTACCAATTTTACCCATGTTTTAACCAGTTTTTGTGACTAAGCGACTTTTGGTGATTACTAAAACGTTTTGGTGTCCTGGGTACGTAAAAACGTAAGTTTTTACGTTTTAATGCACGATTTTTACTGCACTCTCAACAACTAGACAGATCGCTCGACTACACCAGCTACACATCAACAGATTACACCTACAACTACACATATGACTTATCACTTTCCTATCCAAAATAAAGAAAATACAATAGCTCCTAAAATGATGAACGACACCATTTTCCGATCAAACTTGGACACCTCCTTGTTTTGCCTCTTCTCTAGCTCCCGAATTCGACGATGAAAGTTTAGCAACACATTTCTCATATGCTCATCAAGGGCTGGGTCAAGCCATCTGAAGTAGTTATATACTCCATTTGTCTACACACCATCGCACAGAAAAAATAGAAGGATGAAAAAGGCGGCATAATAGTCGAATGGTAACATTAAAAAGGAAACAAAGGTGGATGAAACCTTACCCCATATCTGCTGCATCCATAAAACCTTCTTCCTGGATTCGCCTCAGTACAACTCGTCTTCAGATCTGTTGGCTCTCCACAGTGACAGAAGGGAGCCGCCATTGGTAGAGGTGAAGTGGGAGGAGGAAAGGAAGAGATGGATGGGGAGGGGCCAATTCTCGCGCAGATTAAAGAGTAAGAGAACAGATGGTTAGGGATTCATTTCTGAGGGGGTAGACTTATAGGAGGGGGCTAGATTCAGGGGGTTTGGGTCTCGGGTTTGGGTTTTGGCTCAATTAATTGGGTTGGTTCGCAGGTTGGGCAAGAATGGCTGACAGAGCGAGTAAATGTGACGTGGTGGGTCGTCGGTTTTTATTGTTAAAATATGTTGACTGTGATTTTCTGTTAGCCACGTCATCACTTAACGGTCGTCATTAATGGAGTCTAACGGAGGTTAATGGAGAGTGACCGAACTTGGAATGTTTATCTAATTCAAGTGACTATAAATGGAATAAATCAATTTGAGTGACAAACGTGAAATTTTATAGCAATTCGAGTGACCAAACTTGCAATTAAGCTTCTTTTTTTTGCCATATGGCAACTTTCCCTTTTGTTCGTTCAATTTCTTAAAAAAGCCCATGAATTCCCCTTCTCGTCCTCTTGCGTGCGATCCCAATTGCTTCCCGTTCCTACTGCCGGAATCTTCCCATCTTCCGCTCCGGTAACAGTCACAGATTGCCGTCTCCAAGATCACGTCGATGGCAAGCTTTCTAAGGACTCTCACTGCAGCCCGACGCGTCCTCAATGCCACGGCGGTGATTAATAGTAGCTCGGTTTCACCGCTTCGCTCCTCCCCAATCCGTGCCGGCTCTGCTTCCCTGTACGTATAACCGCCGCCTGTAACTTCTCTACGTCAGTCATATCTTCTTCTTCTTTCCCTCCAGAGCAAGTAATTTGTTTCCACCTTAGACTTCAATGAGCAACGGTGATTCTGGAACGATTCCTATCGATCTATCCGATGAAGAGAGCAAACGGCGTTTGTTTAACAGGTCTGGTATTTAATTTTGGTATTCCATTTTTCCTTCTGATATTTGGCTGACTGAATCGCTTGGTGGGCGAATGAATCCAGGTTGCTGTACAGGAGCAAGCAGAGAGGATACCTGGAATTGGATTTGGTACTTGGGAGATGGGTAGAGGAGCACATTCATTCCATGGACGAAAACGGGATCAAAGCGCTTGTGAACGTCCTTGATCTGGTAAGGAAATAGAGGTTCAATCTTGGGGCTTTTTTTCTCCTTCGGTTTTGAAAGAGCCTTTGATTGCCGACATAAACATCTAGTTAGAGCGAAATGCAAGAACTTTCAGTGCTGTAAGTTGCTCAACGGATCAAGTAAGGTACAAAATTGTCACTCATGTTATCCATTGGAGTGGGGTGACATGGCCTAATTGAAAGGAGTCAAGTGCAAGCTCTCAATCATCTCCTACTATGGATACTCAAACTTTTTTAGTTCGCCATGAAGAAAAACATAGCCCAGTTTCTTTTAATTTGCTTGTAATGTTTCTCTTGTACTACAGATTACTGAAAGAAGCTCACAATTTGTGAGTTTCCTACTACTATTTAATAGTTAATACAGTCACATAATCACGTCATAAATAAACTAGCTGCTTTAGAGTCTTCCCGTTTCAGAATTCTTACATGAATCTGCTAAATTCCGAAGTGGGCTTGTAATTTTTCATCTTAGCTGTGTGATTATCTCGTGTAGTTCCTGAATATCTGTAGAACGCTGGGATTCTGAAACTGTTGATCTCGCTGAATTGCGCGGCTCAATGGTTTAAGCAGTTCATGGTAGTTCAACTGAGAACATGCCCTAACCTTGTTGAGATGCGAAAAGGTGGTTGATATGGATTTTTACGCTGACCTGTGGTGACCCTTGGAAGATCTTGCATGTGGTTTAGGAATTACTTGACGTTCTACATAAGAGTTGTCAACTGCTTCTCCTGAAGAATGCAAGTGAAAGCAGAAATTAATATCTTCCTAGACTAGCTGTGTAAGAGCTCTGGAGTCGTAGGATTTGCTCCTACAAATGTTTACCCTTTGGTTTGTGGGTTTTCGGGAAAATCCTGATTTGTGGAAGTGGTTAACTGGGCAGGAGCAACCCCCAGATGCAGTGTGCCAAAACCCGGTAAGTTGCTTTGTTTTGCTTTGAATGGTGGGATTGCATTCGGTATGGGACGTGAACACATATGTGAAAACATTAGGGTTTCATCGATCAGGGAAGCCTGAGATTTGTAATGGTGTGAATTTCAGCAGTTGATTTGCAGACCTTAGTAGACAGCGATGGGACTGATGCAACTTCTTTGTTTCGTTAAGGTTAAACTGAATCTTGTATGCTTTCTCAATGGATCTGTCTATTTGTTTTTGTTTGGTAGGTGTTCTGTGAGCTGCGTGATAAGATCGTGAACAACCTCAACAGCCACGCGACTCCTGAAACAAGGGCACTTCTTGGGCAGCCATGGGTACGAGGATGGGATGACATTAAGAAGAATCCTGGTGCTCCTATTGTGGGGAACCAGTAGCTCTTTTGTGTCTGATAACTCTCAGTTTGCGGCATAAAGCCTCTTAATACGGTAATAAAGGTCACTGCCGGAAAATTGCATTGGCCGGCGAGTACACTAGTGTGGCTTCCATCCTTATTTTCAAGGCATTTAATCAAAGCCCACATAAGAAAAATCCCTATTCAAATATTAATCATCAGGCTGCCACGAAACAGGACCCAAATCCTGAGCCAATTGAAGCATGCCACCCCTTTCGCCGGGTGGCGGAGCAGATCCAAGATCGCCTGTTGAAATTTCTGGGTTTTGTAAATGGAGAGGCAAGAAAAGCATTGGGAGTTTTGTATATGCTTGTAAGGCCAAGAATGGAAGCAATTGAAGCTATTCTGGGTTCACACGAATTAGGGATTCAAAATGGGGAGTTGGCGACTTGGCGTTGCCGTTTTTATTTTTATTTTTATGAGAACCTGCAATTATATTATTAATCATAAACTGCCGTTACATCGTCCAACAGAAGCTGATCAATCAATATCATAGGCGGTCTATCAACCCACACAACAGGTGAGTTCTAATGTGTTTCACACTTAGTCCTAAGATGAGCAGTCGAATTTGCTGTTCTTTTAGCATGTTGTATTGATCGAATGAGTCCTGCAGCAAGCTCTTGTCGGATACTGGTGCATATTCTCCCAAGCTCCATTAGTGATGAGCCCTCCTCTCGGATCTTCTGTACCACTGAGAGACAATCAGTCTCAATAATTGGCTCTTGAATCTGTAGCCGTTTAACCATGTTGATCCCGAACTCAACTGTGCATGCCTCTGCCAATTCAGGATCCCACGAGCCAGGTATTTTTTGGGCAGCTGCAAAAATGAACCTCCCGTTACAATCACGGCCCACTACTCCAAGACAAGCTCCACCAGTCACTAGTACATCCGCGTCTGTGTTGATCTTCGTCATGCCCTGTCGAGGTCGAACCCACACCTCAGCAGCTGGGGCAAGGCCAGGTTGTGTAGGCGTTCCCTGGTGCTCTTTGTAGTCATGAAGAAAGGCTTCCGCACGTTGAGCAATTTGATCTTCTGGAAATTTTGACCCATTATGCAATTGGGCATTCCTTTCCTTCCAGAAAACCCATAGCAAGACTATCCATCTTTCAATGTCTTCCTTCGGTGCTAATTCAAGCACCCTCTTAACCCACTCGGCACAATCCTCTAAACTGCGGCATAAGAAATACTTCGCCAAGTTTGTCGGGCGCCAAATTCTGGTCGCCACCCACATTCACCAAATAGATGAGATTGCATCTCCGACATGTCATAGAACAGCCAGCGATCATTCCCATTCTCATCTCGGTGGTAATAATTCGCTCTTGTTGGCAACCATTGCGAATAAATCGCCACTTTAGGGGGAATTGTAAGTTCCCAAAGCACCTTTCAAACTCCCGGCTCACTAACCATTCCCCCCTGTCGCTGCTCAAGTTTTTTTTCTTGCCAAGTGCGGTACCCAGATCGAGCTGTATACCTCCCCGACTTGCTCGCCCACCATACCAAACGATCTGGTTCTGTCTCCCCTCGCAATGGGATAGGGATAATGTGCTGAGCTATCTCCTCGGGGAAACACGCCTGTATTTTCTCCATGTCCCAAGTCTCCGATTCTACGGCAATAAGATCCCGAACTTTAGCATCCACTGGCAAATGGGTTGGTGCTGATGAAACAAAGAACCCCGGGGTAGTTGGGATCCATTTATCACCCTAAATGCGCAACGAGTCTCCATTTCCAATGACCCATCTCAGTCCAGCCGACAAGAATTCTTGCGCACTCAACAACGACCGCCAAGCAAAACCCGGTCTGTAGCCTTCTTCCGCCTCTAGGATTGTAGTTGACGGATGGTACCGAGCTCTCACCATCCGCGCTATAAGAGATTGGGGCCGGTTATGGATGCTCCATAGACGACTCGCTAGGAGGGTCGTATTGAAGCCTTGTAAGTCCCTAAAACCCAGACCACCTTCTTCTTTTGGACGACACAGCTCCTCCCATCTCACCCACGACAATCTATACTCCTCTCCCTTAGCACCCCACCAAAAATTGCGTATCATTCTCTCAACCGCTGACGTTACGCTTTCAGGGATTCTGAAAACTCCCATAGCATAAGTTAACTATGCCAGCGCAACAGATTTTATCAAGACTGCTCGTGCCGCAACTGAAAGGGTTCGCTCCTTCCAGCCCTTCAATTTCTTTCAAACTCGGTTTGTTAACCCATCAAAGGCTTCCTTCTTTGAGCGACCCACTAGTGTGGGAAGTCCCAAATATTTGTTGTGTTTTTGAACCACTACCATGCACAAATAGTCACCGATTTCCTTCTTCCTCAAGTGTGGTACCTTGATGCTGAATGAAACCTCCGACTTTTGATAATTCACTTGCTGACCTGATTCTCGTTCATAGTCAGCTAGGATCCTCTTGAGACAGTCACTTTCCTCTACTGTTCCTCTCCCAAAAAAGATACTATCGTCTTCAAAGAACAGGTGTGACACTACCGGAGCATGCCTTGAAATCTTGATACCATGGATTCGCCCCTCCTCCACCGCCTTAGATATATATGAGGATAAGCCCTCGGCACATAGAAGAAAAAGGTACGGCGAAAGTGGATCTCCTTGTCGGAGCCCTCGACTTGGGGTAAACGTCGGTGACTGATGCCCGTTAAAAGAAAGAACCGAGTATGTAACTGACCGAACTACAACCCATTACCAAGTGAATCCAACTTTCCTAGAACCCCATCCACCGCATAACCCCTTCAAGGAACCACCATTCCACTCTATCGTAGGCTTTTTCCATATCGATCTTTACTGCAAACACACCTCTTTGGCTTGTCTCTTTAGTTTTCATTGCATGAAAACATTCAAACGCCGCCATAACATTATCTGTGATAAACCTGCCTGGCACAAACGCACTCTAGTTAGGGGAGATAATTTTATCAAGAACTGACTTGAGGCGGTTTGCCAGGACCTTCGCCACCATCTTGTAACGGACATTACACAAACTAATTGGCCTTTATTCCTTAGGTGTTGTTGGTGACTTAACCTTAGGAATAAGGGCTATTAGAGTATGGTTAATGTCCGCTTGAAACTCCCTGGTATTCAGAATATTCAGCACCAGCTGTGAGACCTCATTCCCGACTATTGACCAGTGGTGCCAGTAAAAGAGCACCGATAACCCATCCGGTCCGGGTGCTTTTTTCTTGCCCATTTGCTTCAGAGCAGCAAATATTTCCTCCTTCGTAAAGGCTCGTAACAAGCTAGCATTGTCCTTGTCCGAGACTGAATTAGGAATAGAATCCAAGACCGGGGTAGATGATGGCGTTGCCGTTGTTGGGATGGAAGGGATAATAAGAAAAGAATTATAGAGGAAATTAAATAATCTAAGCTTTTTTTAATTTTGGCTAGAAAACTAAACTAATAAAAATGGGTAATTTGGCCATTTTAACTTGTTAAACGGCCTCGGTCAGTTGACAGAAGTGCATGTTGTTATATTTCGATAATAAAAGAATATGTTGGTGCAAAATAATAATAGAAGGATATGTTTGTTAATTTTCAATAGTAGAGAGATATAAAATGCTATTAATATCAAAGATCAGAATTGACTGTCACCTAGGAAAAATTTAACGGAGATGGACAGCAAGTGACAATTGATGAAACAAAAGTGTAATGTTAGTGATTAATAAGAAAGAAAGAAAAAATCGAGTGACAATTATGCAATAAATTGATAATCTCAGTGACCAAACTTGAAATTCACCCATATATATAAATTGTGAATAAATTTCCTTCAAATATGTGTTATATATACTTTAATTTTTTTATTTAAAATTAATGATTTTTCATACTTTTCCATACTTTATTAAACCGGCATTTATCGTTACAAATCAGTTGTATCATCCGATCGAACCATACCATTTTCTAAACCGACATAATCAGTAAAAGAAGTCTTAGCAATAATAATCAGAATTAAGAATCTTTTCGAAAAAATTAAGGCTACTTTTTTTCTTCTTCTTAAGATGGCCACGCGACTGTATTCCTATTCAATCACATAAACCCAAAATAATCTCATTTCATATACAAAGAGCATCAATGCGTGGTAATTGGTATGCACCCACCCACTAAAGTTGTAGACTTTTTTCCAAATTCAAATTTAACTAAGCAAACAGGTAAAGGTTTGTGTTCTGAGTTTAATATTGAGAGGGAGGATAAGCATCGTGAATGACACCTGTCCACAAGTAGTAAAGGGGGTAAAGAGGAGAATAATTGGTGAAGGACCGACCATCTTTTTATCAATATTCATTGGAGGTTGTGTCATGCGTCTACTTTCAGCGCCCTCTGCTGATTTGTTCTGTTTTTTGGCTTTGCTATACGTGTAAATTCCTCACCCCACCCTAAACTAATGATTAATAAAAGAGTCAATTATCTAATGTGGGGGCGGCTACTTGTGTTTATTCTCGATCTCGATGGTCAATATATACAACAGCTCTGTGGCTGTCAAACCCATCCACTTGCTTTCTCTGCTTTGCCATGAAGAAGAAGAAGAAGAAAGAGTTGGAAATGCAGTCTTCCTAGCTAGAGAGGCTGCAAGACGACGACGATGAAAAGGCAAGTCACAGAGGCAAAGGGAAGGCCAAGCCTTTCTTCCAGGGTCCTTTTTTTTTCTTCTTCTTCTTCTTTTCCTATGTAACGTAGGAGTACTTGTTGTTGTTGTTTTAATTGCTGCAAGCTTTCCCTCTTGAATGCTGTTGGTCATGGTCTGTTTCTTGATTATTAGTTTGGAGTCTTTCATGAAGAAACCCACCCCAATTGGTTGCTGGTTTCAAGCAATTAAGTATCGCTGTTTTGTTTTGGGGAGGAAGTGAACAAGAAAAAAAAAACAAGTTTAAGTTGCTTTGTGTCGTTGTCTGGAAAGGGCCATATTAGCTTCTGTCTTGTTTTAGAACATTAATTATCAGCAGTATTGGTTGTTTTCCGTTTTCTGCGGCCGATCTGGTGCACGTACGTACACGAGTCATGTCTCCAATCAAGCCAGAGTTGATTTGCTTAAGATGATGAAATCCCAGAGCTTAGTTGTTCTTTTAGCAGCTGCTAAAC